ACCTGATTTGCTGTTGAAGGACCATATATGACCGTTTCATTGGGATCCATATCCTGGTGATGTTGACGTAGGTAGGCATGCATAGTTACCATATCTACTGTCTCTGTTCCCTTGTCAACTCTTATCATGCTTGCAATGGTTTTGGTTTGGTACAGGTGTTCCAGGTAAAATCGTGCAATCAACTTTGGATTGCTGTTGCTTGTCCAAACTTTTGCCCAGAGAACTTTTCTACTGCAAGTATCAATGCAACCGTAAACAGCTATGGGAAAGGTATTATTTTGATATCCCATTAACTTGTCATGCCCGTCCAGCGAATGCACCCAGTTTGGTCCACGGGTTGTGAAGTGACCTGCCCTTTTTCTTTTCTTCAGACCAGGAGTTCTTTCCTCGAGTCCTTCAGGATCGATATCATACATGACGGCATGAACTAAGTCTCGAGGTACTCGTAAGTCATGAACTTGCCTAATCTTTTTTTGCATGGCTCGATATCCAAGCATCTTTCCGGGACCTTCCAATTCTTCCCGTACGACCTGTTCAACTTGCTCAACTGTCACATCAATGTCTGTATAGTAGATTTCAAAATACCTTAATCTTCTGTCAAGTGTTCTAACACTCCAAGCGTAGTCTGGAAAATCTCTAGCCATGTAATCTAGTATCTCATTACGGCGAAGTCCTTGTCTTACAAACTCATTCAATGCTTCTTTGAGTGATTCGTCTTCTTGCCAGTTGTTATTTCTTAACCTCCTTAATGCCGCCATCTTGGATTGTGGTATAGCCTGCATAGCCTGCCATTTTTAAGGGAGGGAAGGTTTTAAAGCTCGCAATGAGTTGTGGTCTATGGCAGTTTTAGGCCATCGGAATTTTTTTTTTTAATTTATTTTATTTTGAAATTAATTTACTTTTGATTTGAAATAAATTTTATTTATTTTTTAATTGTTTTACTTTATATTTTAATTGAATTTACTATTAATGTAATTTGTTTTCCGAATTAATTCATTTAATTTTTTTTTTTTTTTTTTTAAATTGTTATGGCAGTTCTCGGCCACCATAAAGTAGTATTGATGTATGGGCATGAGATTGAAAGTCTCGGCATTGGTCATGCGGCATTTTAAGCCGGTCCTTCTACTTTTAAATTCAAATTTCCTCTTTTCCTTGTAAAATTTCCTTAAATTCCCATGAACTTTTCCTGGAAGCACCGAAATAGTATAACGGTAATTTATATTAGGTATAAAACACTGCTAATTATAAAGGATTTGTTAATTAAATCTATTTTCACAATATTACAGGTTGATCCTTCAGTCCCAGTATCCGACTGTTCTGCCCCTTGTACTCCTAGAAGCTCTTGCTTTGCATCTACGGCAAGCTTCCCCCCTATCGAATCATTCGAATGCTTCATCCTCGGCATCTCCATGTATAATTCCCGGCCATCGAGCCCTATGGACATGTTGTTGTTATCCAATAACACAGCTTACTTGTTTTCTGCAAGTGAAGTTTCCAGAAATAATTCTAAATGGATTCAGAATTTTCAATTACCCAGCATGGTATGTTGCATTGTGATGCACTTGAATTATTAAATTGTTCTCCGAGTTGTATAATACAATATAGTGTTGTTATTTTAGAGCGGTCTGCTGTTTTCCAACCAAATTACAGTTACAAAGAACAAACTTTGATAATTTTACTTTACTCTTTCATGAAAATTCCTAATGGAAATTAATTGACTTTTCCAACTTGTAACAGCAGCATAGCTAGCTTTGGCAACAGTTAGTTGGTTCTGGGTTTTCGATAAGTTGGAAAGCTCCAGTTGGAATATGGATGTTTTACTGTATATACTAGTGGCTTTAGCACAACCCGCCTTTAACTGGCATGTCTGAGTGAAGCTGCACCCATGCCACCCAAAAGAGATCTGTTGTCCAATGTCCATTTACTGTAAAATCTGATTAATTTTTGCTTAAATTCAAACAGGGCGATGAATGCATTGATGATACCATTGAAGCATCAGTCGCATCAAAACTTGCGAGGGCTGGTCATGTCAGTGATGTAAAGCCATTGTACATCGCTGGAGAGGGCAAGATCCTGATGAAATTGAACAGTTCAGTAACAATTGAGAATACGTTGGCACATCTTGTAAGTTATGTGTTCAATATTGTCAGAATACTCTGTGTCAAGCAAAAATGTATTCCAGTTTCTGGAAACTGCGAGAACCAGGGAAGCTAAAAAAGGATTCCAGTCAACAAATATTTGCAAGAACTTGAATAACGTTTTAACAATTAACCGAGCAAATTGTTAAGCTCGTTTAGATAGGAGCCCCGGCGGCTCGTCCATTTTTGGCAAAATTTCCAAACACCACTCGTACTATTAATCCCTAATTGTACTCGCCATCGCATGATTACCTATACTAACATATATAATCCTTGTACTTATGATCAAAATGTTACGTTAATTGAGATTTTCTTCCTTTATTCATTGCAATTTTACTATTTGTGCACATTTTTAGAGCAATTTTTATGGGGATAAGGAATAAAATTTGCTCCACTTTTTTAAACTAGAGTATTTATTACTCCTGTTAGGGTAAATATTACTCCACTTTTGGTATATTGTTGACTCCAAAATTAGAGTAAAATTTTAAATTAGATTATTTTTCACTACCATAAGGAATACAATTACTCCACTTTTGGTATATTTTTCACTCCAAAATGAGAGTAAAATTATAAATTAGAGTATTAATTACTCCTGAAGGGGTAAATATTACTCCATTTGTTAGGTAGCAAGTACTCTAAAAATGGAGTTAAAATGTTGGAGTAAAAAATACTCCCAAAACAGAGTCAACTTTTTAAATCCTTTCTTGGAGTAGTATTTACTCCTTGAAATTAAGTATTTACTCCTTTTTGTCATTAATACATTATTGGTTCAATATTATATAGGTTCCAGAGTATTTCTTCAACATCTTTAATCCAACAAAATGTTTATGCGGCGTGTCTATCGTGGTCAGTCAGACAGTTATTGGAGAATCGTTTAGATAGGAGCTGTTCCGAAGTCATTACAGATAATTCGATAAGAGCATTCATAAAAAATAGACAAATTGGCTGCGTTGGTGTGCAAACCAAGTTCAAAGGAACAGGAAAACAATGTAATGCTGCACACATCCAAAGATTGTGGTTCAACGAAGCTGACCTAATTGCTTGTGATGAAAGTAAGTTGGATACTTCGATATAGAGTATATAACGTTACAGAATAATGGAACCTAATGTAAAGCCAATCCTCTTCGTGCATTTCAATACTCTATATTCCATATTACTGAAATGATTAGCTCCTCTATTCAATATAGAAATAATAATTTGTCTACTTTAGAACATATAATTGATTCTCGTCGTGGGTTCCGTCATTCTCCATGATCACCACAAAATGTCCACGTATCCTCTATGTACGTGCGTACAATTTGTATGTAGTTTTTGGGTAAGACCGTTTTCCATTACATTTTACTAAATATATGTTACAGAATTTCCGCCGAAGAAGGTAAATGAAAACAAACGGACGAGCCAGTAGACAGTACGGATACTCAATTATTCATGCCAAAGAATGACTCAGGGAAGGAAACGCTTTTTGTGTCAATACATTTCCTTCTTTTGTTAATGATCTGTAAGACTGTATTTGGCGACTAGCGAGCTGTGTATCGTAAATCTTTTTTTGTATTTTGTTGATATATAGTTTGTGTCGTTAACTGTAGTATTTGTAGACATTATATGACGTACCATATTCGAATTAATATCATAGCTATATATATTCTTGTTCACCGTGTCATTTACGGGCCCTATTACTCGCAGTCGCAGTCTTGCTACGGCTCACTCTGAGCTAAATAACACGTCGGTAAAAGCAGTTGGTCGATTGAGCATGGTTGAGAGCGCGCAGCCTGACATTGCGGACAAATTGTCTGAACTGCTAAAAGCTGTTGAAAGGTCAATTAAGGCGAGGGAACAAAATAAGGAGACTTTAACAGAAGCCCACGAATTAGGCACTCGCAAGCATACAGACTTAATCAAATCACAACAAGAACAACAGGCACAACTTGCAACATTAATCTCACAAAGCACATTACAGATAGGACCAGCGATTCACCAGACACCTTTTTATGGAAAACCCACAGATGACCTTCTGTCATTTATAAGCCATTTCGAAAGTTCTCGAATTTCTGCGGTTGGAATGACGACCAACGTCTTAGAGCTTTGCCACTTTATCTACAGGGTAATGCTAGTTCATGGTATGCAAGTTTTGATTCAGAAACATTGAAATCATATAATGATTTAGCTACTGCTCTTAAAGCCCACTTTACTAATCCTGCTTCTATTTGGCTGTGGCGCCAGCAACTGTCTGCTCGTAAACAGGAGGAACATGAGTCCTTGTCTAACTATTCCTCTGACATTAGGCATTTATGCAAACGTTTGGGCCTTACTGATTTAGATGCAATGCACTATTTTATTCAAGGTCTTCGCCCTGATCTAAAAAGCCATGTTATGTTAGGGCAGCCCAAAAGTTTATCAGAGGCTGAAAATCGTGCAAACCTTAAGGAGGCTGTGTTAAAACATACACGTAATTTCACTCAGCAAAAACTCGAAAGTCAATTGCAGTCTGTAGTAACAAGTTTGGAACGCCAGTAGTAATATAGGTACCGATCGGGCCTTATTTTTGAGGAGTGAGGAGGAGTGAGGAGGAGGAGGAATGAGGAGGAATGACGTCACTCATCATTAACATACGTCATAATTATATGCAATGACGTCACGCGGGCAGGTTTGGACGAGGATGTGTGAAATTTGCTGACTAAGCATTTTTAGCGTCCCCGCACGTGTGTGATACAATGGAGGGATTAATCTTGGCTTACTATGATTGGTTGTTTGATTTAACGAGCGTCTGCATAAAATCGACAAGCGTCTTGTAGTGAACATAGTTCTGCATTTGACAACGCTTAGTCGACGTTTGGTTAAATTATTCGTGAAGAATAATTGCTTGGAAGAGAATGGCACAACAGCATCGAGAGGATATTTGGTAAGTTTAATTTAAACTGAAAATTAATATAATATCGAGAGTTTTGCTTATGTAATCGATTTCTATATTTTGTAGGAGCGATCAATTGATGGCAGAGTTGGAAAATGATGAGGTCAATCGCCAGCTTTGTACCGTGGACATATTTTCTTGGTCGCCAGAGACGCAAGAGCAGATTCTGGCTGAATGGAATGACTGGAAAGAAGAATCGGAGAAGTCGGGGTTATGTTGTGATGAATGTGGTAAGATGTTTAAACGTGCAGGTAATCTGAAACGCCACATGAAAACTCACAGCGAGAAAGAATACGAATGTTCGCATTGCCACAAGAAATTTGACCGAATGGTACAGTATGTAAAGTTTTGTATTGATATATAAACCATAACAAGTATCAAGCATATGTATATGTATAGCCATTGTGTAGATATACGCTGTTCCCTAATATTATACTTCATATTCTTTTAAGGATAATCTGAAACGCCACATGAAAACTCACAGCGAGAAAGAATACGTGTTCGAAATGTCACAAGAAATTTGATCAAAAGGTTTGTAGAGATTTGTATTAATATATAAACCGTAACAAGAAAAAATGTATATGTATAAACATTGTGTAATATGTATAGATATACGCTGTTCTCTAATATTATACTTCATGTTCTTTAAAGGATAATTTGAACCGCCACATGGAAATGCACGAGCGACGTGGCGCGGAACGCGAATATACTTGTAATGTATGCAGTGAAGTATTCCACAATATATTCCCATTTCAAGCCCATCAGCGCAATGTCCATCAAGTTGGCGGTGGAAAACGTGCCAAGACGTCGATCCGGCGAACGAAAAGACAAAGAACTGATGAATCGGGTATGTATAAATGAAAATATTTCGATCACTGGCTTTGTATTTAAACAGATATTTTTTTCTTTTAAGAACCCACAAGGCCTTCGACACCGGTGAACGAAGGTAAGCATTTGTTGTGTGTTTTCCGTTTAACGTTGTCAAACACCACTAATACATTTTCTCCTTTTCAGAAGCTTCCACGTCTAATGTCGTCAACGAAGGTATAAATCTTTATTGTTAAATTTCATGGTTTTTTCATGTCATTGTAGTAGAACATTCGCTGGCATTTTATAGCGGTGTAAGCGTGGGTTTTATGTTGCTATGTGAAATTTGCATGTTCCTAATTTTTCATGTTAGACTTATGTTCATTTGCTTTAGAATTATTAATTCATGTCATTGTACGATTGTTACGAGCATTTACGCTACATCATTTTTGTGACATTCGTTAGTGTTTTATAGCGAGGTAAAAATAATCAAGTAATTTTCATAGCGTGGGTTTATCATGTTGCTATGTGAAACTTGCATGTTCCTAATTTATTCATGTTAGACTTACGTAATTTTTTTATGAATCGGGTGTTTGTATGACAAAATTAGTGCGGAGTTCTAGACAAAAATAAAGAATCGGGTGTTATAATTTATAGAACCCCAACCGTTCCCCCCAAATCCCCTATTACCACCATCTAACCTTCCATCCCAACTACACCAAGACCATTGGCGTACTATCCGTACGCGGCAAAGCAGAGGAAACCGTGTTCAGGACTGGTATAATTATCGTCTAAGCTCAGTGAATATGGGACAACTTGTCAACAACATACAGTACATATTCGAAGATCAAACCACCGTATTCAAACTTAACCTTTCCTTTGGTTTCGTATTGTTTAATAATGAGACACAACAAATGCAAATCACCACTCATCTGCCAACAACAACCATGTCTTCGACTCCCCGTTCCAGATCCATAATCGTGAAGATTTAGGTCAAGTTTGTGAAGCGATGCAAAACATCGACATTCATGAATGGGCTCGACAACAACGACCTAATTCCAAATGGGTTGTCATGGATATTACCAACGCGACCGACGTTTTATGTGAGCAAACTTCGCGATCATCCCGTCGGCCGTAGTGTCCGGCTACCTCGGTACGTGTTGGAGAATCCTGCCATTGTGTCGCTCGATTGTAGCAAGCAAACGGGACTATCATACGAGGATAAACTGTGCTTTTTCCGTTGTTTGGCCCTACACCGTGGATGTCACCCCAAAAATTTAGAACGCGATACTCATTACTTCTATGAACAATATTCTCAAGATGATGATTTCGACGGCGTGGCACTCGAAGAGCTCCCAGAGTTGGAAAAGTAATTCGAGTTGAACATTTACGTGTATCGCCTTACAGAGTTACATGACGAAGATGACGACACGACCTCCATTGTGGCTCAACTCATACAGCGCTCCCACCGTAGCTACGCCAACACCATGTACCTGAACCTCTACGGCAGCCACTTCAGCCATATTAAGAATTTGGCCATGTATTCCAAATCCTACTGTTGTTCCAAGTGTGACAAAATGTGGAAGACAGCGAGAGCCTTAAACCGACACGAGAAAACCTGTGAAGCGACTGTACGACATGTTTTCCCTGGTGGTGCCTACAAAGTTCCACAATCAATCTTTGATCTACTGGCCGACGATGGTATCGAGATCCCTGAAGACCTCAAGTACTTCCTTTACCGAGCCACCTTTGATTTTCTCCGACGTTTTTCGTCAAATTGATGAACGAGTCAATGAGGTATAATTCACACGTATTAGATTTTCAGTATATTTCTTATCCTTAATATTTTTCTTATATCTTTAGGTGGGGAAAAACGAGGAGGTTATGGAAGTTGGCGCGGGGGAGGATAATGAGGTAAATTATAGGAAGGTTATATTTATACTTATATTCTTTATATTCTAATATATCTTATGTTTTAGCAAAATACAGAAGAACAGATGATTGAGGAGATGGTGGGATTTTTGATGGGGTTGAATAGCGAGGTATATAAAATGTTTGAACTCAACAGTGGTCTTTCCTGTGCTTACAATATGTGTGCCTTTTAGGCGAGTGAAGATGCGTGTGGTGTTGATGAAGACGATGCGAGTAAAGATAAAGTAGTTGAAGAGAGAGTAAGTATCACACTCATGGTCCATTTTAGCGGTTGTTATATAGATTAGTGTTTATAGGGATGTGTAAGTATCTTGCTTTTTACTCATGACACCTTTTCATTTATTTAGGATGTGGTCCATCCTCTGCTCAAACTCCAAGACAAACTGATGGAGTACTTGATGGAGCTACCAGTTCTTGGGTTCAACACTGGTAAATATGATATTAACGTGGCGAAAAACCCCTTCTTTTCACATCTCCTCAAACACGAACAAGTTAAGTTTGTGATAAAGAGGAACAATAACCACATGTATCTTAAGACTCAACACTTAAAATTCCTTGATATCACAAACTATCTGGCTCCGGGATTTAGTTACGAACAGTTTCTTAAGGCTTACGAGTGTTCCCAGACCAAAGGTTACTTCCCGTACGAATGGCTCGATTCCCTCAACAAACTCAATCATTGCTCCTTAACACCACGCAAAACCTTTCATTCCACCCTGTGCGGAACCGACATCACCGAGGAAGAGTATGAGTATTGCCAGGGCGTATGGGATGAAAATAACAGGACAACTTTCCGCGACTTTCTCGTGTGGTATAACAACCTTGACGTAGTCCCCTTCCTTGAAGCGATTGATAAAATGAGCAATTTCTGGCAAGAAAGGAACATTGATATATTTAAGGACGGTGTGAGTGTGCCTGGCTTAACTATGAAATATTTATTTTCCAACATTCCAGGCACCTACTTCTCCTTGTTCAGCGACAAGGACAAGGATATGTATTATTCAATGAAGGATAATAACGTAGGGGGCCCCAGCATTATTTTCAACAGGTACCACGAGAAAGAGAAATCATTTATACGCGAAGTAGAAGCACGAACCGAAGGAAAAGAATCGAAACCCTGCAAGAACGTAGTTGGATACGATGCCAATGCGCTCTACTTGTGGGCCATCATGCAAGACATGCCAACAGGACAGTACACAAGACGAATGGAGGAGGACGGGTTTAAGAAACGGTGGAGTGAAAAAATGACGATCGAATGGTTGGAATGGCAAGCCTACAGTCGCGGCATTAGTGTCAGACACGAGTATAACAACGTGGAGAAAAGAATTGGCACTTACCGTCTCCCCGTTGACGGTTTTCACGCTGAATCACAAACGGTGTTTCAGTTTCATGGTAAGTTGTTGTTTTAGTGTAATTAGTTAGGATTAAGTTAAATTAATTAGTTAGGATTAAGTCAATTGTGTGGGAGTAAGTTAATGAGTTTTTGACGATCGCGTGGGCTTTTCTCTTGCAGGATAATTTGTTTTACTTTCTCCTTGTAGGTTTAACTGTATTGCATTTTATTTTAATAGGATGTTATTGGCATGGCCACAACTGTCATCAAAACGAAGGGAAAGAGATTAACGAGAAGCGTGATAAGCCGATGAAGGAACTCCTTGAAGAGACCCAAAGAAACAGCGCCTATACCAAGAAGCAGGGATTCAATCTCGTTGAATGTTGGGAATGTGAGTGGCGAGAAATGAAGAAACGCAACAGTGGATTGCAGCGCTTCATCGCCACGCAACTTCGCCGACCCCTAGACAAAGTAAAAACGATGACAACTCGATGAATCATCAACGCTGTGAAGAATGATACGTTATTTGGCTGTGTCGAGTGCGACATCCACGTTCCTGAGCACCTAAAAGATAAATTCTCCGAGATGTGTCCAATATTTTAAAACACGGAAATATCGCGAGAGGATATTGGTGAATTTATGAAAACGTATGCGGAGGAAAACAACATCATGAGACAACCTCGGCGTAGTCTAATTGGAAGTATGATCGGAAAGAAGTTAATGTTGGCAACTCCTCTTCTAAAGTGGTATTTGGAACATGGTTTAGAGGTACGCTCCAAATATTATAAACTTGTAAAATTGCAGAAGAAATTTGTTAACAAATTGTATTATCGTTTTAGGTAACACACGTCTACCAGGTAGTCGAGTATACCCCTAAGCCATGCTTCAAACCTTGTGGTGATGCTGTATTGGATGCTCGTCGTGCTGGTGATGCAGACACCTCCAAAGCCATCATCGCGGACACGATGAAATTGGTCGGGAATAGGTGAGTTTTAAAATCACGCTGTCGTAACGTATGCAACAAATTCTCTTTTTTTTGTATTTCTTTGTTGTAACAGCTCATACGGGAAGACCATCACCAACAAAGAGCGTCATCGCAAGGTGAATTACTGCAACGATGATGAGGTCTCTGAATTAATCAACTCACCATTCTACCGCCAAATGAACGTGATCGACGATGACACCTACGAAGTGGAAAGTGCTAAGAAGAAAATAAAGTTGGACTTACCGCTACAGGTATGTATTGCATGATCACTTTGTGTACCAGTATGCGAAACTCCGAATGTTACAGTTTTACTACGACTGTTTAGATACATACCTTGGCCGTTCCGATTATGAGTATTGCGAGATGGATACAGACAGTGCCTATATCGCTATTAGTGGTGAAAGTATTGAAGAATTGGTGAAGCCTGGTTTAAGAGAGGTGTTTGAGAGCGATAAATGTAACTGGTTTCCTCGCTCCGATACAACTGAACATGCGAAATACGACAAGAGAAAACCGGGATTGTTTAAAGTAGAATGGGAAGGCGATGTGATTGTATCCTTATGTAGTAAGACGTATTATTGTTTTGGGGAGAAAA